TTTAAGAGACAACCTGTGTCCAAAAGTGCAGCTCATGGCACGCTGGAGTTGAATATCCTTTGTTTATATCACACTGATGAGAACATGTATGTGGCAAGTTCTTAACAAATATCTTAAATTAATCTCTGCTGGGAGGTATTTTTTGAGGGATTCCTTTGTATCCACAGAGGGAATAACAAACAATTTTTTTGAAACTGGAGGGGGGGACGGGAGAAGAGAAAACAGAAAATAAGCATGTAACAAGCCATCAGCAAACTATAATCCCCAGGCCGAATCTAGCCCGCTGCTTGTTTCTGGATAGCTTGTAAGCTAAGAATGGTTTTTCTATTTCTTAAATGGTTAAAGAAAACCAAAAGAAGAATAAGATTTTGTGACATGTGAAAATTACATAACATTCAAATTTCAATGTCCACAAATAGTCTTATTTGAGCACACCACACTCATTCAATTGCATATTGTCTATAAAACTTTCATGATAGTGAAATTGAGTAGTTGTGTCATAGACTACATGGCCCTCAAAGCCTAAAATATTAATTATCTGGTTCTTTACAGGAAAAGTTTCCCAATCTCTGATGTAAACAATTAAATAGTAAAATATAGTATAATCCCACTGATAATGAAGAACATAAAATAAACATATTTGTTGTTGTTGTTCAGTTGCTCAGTCATGTCCAACTCTTTGTGACCCCGTGGACTGCAGCATGCCAGGCCTCCCTGACTTCACTATCTCCCAAAGCTTGCTCAAACTCATGTCTATTGAGTCAGTGATGCCATCCATCCATCTCATCCCCTGTCATCCCCTTTCCCTCCTGCCTTCAATCTTTCCCAGCATCAGGGTCTTTTCCAGTGAGTTCTTCACATCAGGCGGCTAAAGTATTAGAGTTTCAGCTTCAGCATCAGTCTTTCTGATGCATATTCAGGGTTGATTTCTTTTAGGATCTACTGGTTTGATCTCCTTGCAGTCCAAGGAACTCTCAAGAGTCTTCCCCTAAGTAAGCGTATAGGTTTGAAAATGACTGCCAGAGAGAGAGAGGCAACTCAGCCCGGGTGGCCTGGGAACATCTTTCTCAGTAGGTGACATGTCTGTGAGACCTATCCTGCAAGTGGTTGCCAGACAAAGGTGTGGGGAAGAACCAGGAGTGGGAATGGCATGTGAAAAGGCTTTGAGGCAATATATTTGAAGTCCCAGAATTTCCTTCAACTGGTATGATCTACAGGGGGGTGAAAACATTCCTACTGAATAAATTACTTGAGTACATGAGGCTTCATTACCAGAAAGTTCAGAATCTTCCTCTTCCTCCTCAATCATTCCAGACAATCTCAGGACAAACTGAGGCCAGACTGGTCCACATGATATTCTACCTCTTGCTGTCACCAGTCTTTCTCTGCCTTTGCTGACCCAGGTCCTTGCTCTGGGCCACAACTTCCTTTCATAAATCACCCCTTTCTTTGATTCCCATCATCTTCTCTACTACTGTTCCTTCAGGGCTGGAGGAACTTCTAGAGAAAGATCCTGTTTTGATGAAATAATTCCATCTTCATGCATGCATTCATTCAATACAAATCTATGTGTAAGTATAAAAATATAGTTGGAAGAATAAATGCCAGATATTAATAATAACTATTAGAAATATTTGCTGAAAGAGTAACTTAACTAATGCACTGCTGATGAATATTTTTTAGCACTTCAGTAAAGACTTGTGTAGTTAATTCAAGTACAGGTATTAGATAGAAGAAAAGTGGTCACTTTGCTTCTTAAATGATTGTCTACCTGGAAAATCAACCAAAATAGTTGGAAATAGTAGGAAATCAACCAAAAATATTATTAGCAATCCAAGAGTTGAGTAAGGTGACTATGAACTAAACATATATAAATCTATAACTTACATACCAAAAATAATCAGGAAGAAAATAAATAGAAAAAAGTTCCTACTGCCCCCTCCAATGTACATGTATACACATGCAGACATGTACATATATAGATATATATGTACATAGATTCATTGTTAAATGTATATTTGTGCACATACACAAATTCAATGATCTCAGTGAAAAACTTAGAAAACTTTACTGGTATACACACATGAAGACAAAATGAGAAACCTACTGTTTTTTGAGTGGGAAAGCAATATTAAAAAAAAGTGCCAATCATCCTAAATTAGTTTGTGTATTTAATGCAGCCCAGTGAGCACTTAAATAACTTTGAACTTCATTTATTTATTTGTTTTTTAATTTTTTGGCTGTGCCTCATGGCACGAGGGATCTTGGTTCCCTGACCAGGGATCAACGATGTGCCCCCAGCGGTGGTAGAGTGGAGTCTTACACTCTGGACTTCCAGGTTCCTGAGCTTTATTTGAAAAAATACACTTGGTAGAAGAGCTTGTAAAATTCTGAAAAGTAAGACTAATAAGAGAGAATCTGCTCCAACCAAGTATTAAAACACGTTACAAACCTGTTGTAGTTACAGTGTTGTTTTAATTATAGTAATTATAAAGAAACAAAGAAGCAATTGTGTATAAATAAGAATGTTCATTGTAAAGGCACTCAGCCTGGAAGAGACAGATCAATTGTGAGGGAATAGTGAGGACAAAAAGACAGATACACAACATCTAGTATCTCATAAAGAAGGCATTTCAAACAGTTAAGAATGTTCAATTATTAGGGTTGGAAAAAGGGGTAAGTTGCTTAGGAAAAAAAACTGTATTTGGATTACTAACATGTCTTTCTCCAAAATAAATTCCAGATACATGAAATATTTTAGTATAAAAACCTGGCCATAAACCAAACTGAAAGCTAAATTACCAAATAAGACAAAAAATTCTCCACATATTACAGAAGGCTAAGAACATAAATGTTGTTTTGTAAGTAATCTATAAAATGAATCAAGAAAAATGAACAAAGAAAATGGATAAAATAATATAAAGATGTACAATATATCAAAATGTCCAAATCACTGACAAAGTAACACAATTTGATATTATTTTTCACCCATAAAATTGCCAGAAATGTATGATTCCAACAGATGGTATGGTAAGGGGAAGTGGACATATTCATACCCAGCTAACTGCAAGGAGATCCAACCAGTCCATCCTAAACTAAAGGAGATCAGTCCTGGATGTTCATTGGAAGGACTGACGCTGAAGCTGAAACTCCAATACTTTGGCCACCTGATGTGAAGAGTTGACTCCTTGGAAAAGACCCTGATGCTGGGAAGGATTGGGGACAGGAGGAGAAGGGGACGACAGAGGATGAGATGGCTGGATAGCATCACTTTGAGTAGACTCCGGGAGCTGGTGATGGACAGGGAGGATTGGCGTGCTGCGATTCACGAGGTCGCAAAGAGTCGGACATGACTGAGCGACTGAACTGAACTGAACTGAACTGAATGGAGGTATAGATTGCTCCATTCTTTTGATGGCTATTTGGCAACACGTAGCTCATCAGTGAAAAGTGCATACCCTTAGACTAGAGAATCTGCTTCTAGGAAAGAATATTCTCAAGAAGCAACGAAGCAATTATGGATAAACAAGGATGTTCATTGTAAAGTTGTTTCTATTAAATAGAAAAAAAAACCCCTAAAGCTCTCTAGATAAATAATTATTAAAATTAATCACACCAGCTTTACAGAGAAATGCTATAAGGTCATTAAAAATGATAAGGTAGATTTGAACCCATTAATACATACAGCTGCTCAGGATAGATTATGTTTAGAAATGTTATTGAACCGCTTGCATAGAATGATCTTATTTATGTAGGAAAAAAATTATGTTCAAGTATGTACTAGAAAAGAAAGCACTAGAATAGAAACGGTGATCATCACTTCTTGGTAGGGTTACATGGGTAATTTTTCTTTTCTTCCTTAAACTGCTTTCCTTCAATCTCTATTTTCTTCCAGAAACTTCTATAATAATCAGAAAAAAGCAAAGCTATTTTCATTTTTAGAAAAAAAATCCCACCTTATTAGCTAACTCGAAACATCTGTATTTCAGAAAGTAATTTGTTTTTTCTTTTTGTAGATCTAGCTCCTGGAGGTTCAGATGACTGGATCTATGACTTGGGCATCAAATATTCGTTTACAATTGAACTTCGAGATAAAGGCAAATTTGGATTCTTGCTGCCAGAGAGATTCATCAGACCCACGTGTTTAGAAGCTCTGGTTGCTGTTGCTAAAATAGCTTCGCATGTTGTCAGGAATGTTTAATGCCCTTGACTTTTTCACTCTGTTCCCATATTTTAATTTACTGATTCCAGCCAAACCATTGTCCTCGTTTCTTTTTGAGTTTTATCAGTAGTTTTGATCAAAGGTTTTCTCATTCCTTGGTTTTGTCAAAGAACAAAAATAAACGGTACCTTAAAATTAACGCCGACCAGGGTTTACATTTTATCTTTTTTTTTAATTTGTGAAAGGCTAGGTACTGGGTTTTTCTTGATCCCTGACATTTGCCTAGCCATCTCAAGCAATTTCAGTAACTAACTTCATGCAGAGCATTGTATCCTAAACAAGGAAAGATGGTTGTTAGAAGTACAGTCAAGATCTCTGCTCCCAATTTACAGTAAATTTCTGCTGGCTCCTTTAAAGACGCAGTCATGCTTGCCTTTTGCTCCACAGTAATAGACGACAGCTGTTACTGTCTGAGAAGGCAGAGGTGCATGAAAAACAAGACAAATACCGCGCGTCTCTCCAGTTCAGCTGCTCAATGAAAACTTTGAGGGAAATGAATGACAGCAGTTATTTCGACAACAAATGTGCCTTTCTGCACATTTACAGTAGCCGTTTATTATTGTAAGAAATTATGTAATAAAATGAGAAATCTCTTCCTCTTAAATTCACTTTAAAAGTGGCAGTTTCTGCTCCCCCGGATTCCAGGTTTCTTCTCCAGGGATTGCAGCTAAAGCACAGATTTGTTGATTTCACCCCACGCCTCGGCGCCAACGTCACGCCCAGGAGGCGTGGCCACAGAGGGGCGGAGCCTGCTCTCTGACGACTAATCCGGAGGCCGGAAGTTGCCTCGGTCTTCTGAGGAACAGGGCAAACTCTTGACTTCCGGCGGGGTTTTGAGGCCTCACAGTGTTTTCCTTGTCTTTTCTTACTCTCCAGTCTCTTCCTTTCTTTGTTTCTTTTTTTCCCCCTACGTCCCAGGCTGTCTCGATCCTGGCGAAGCGGCGAGCGGGCTCTGCTTCCCAGCCATCCCGGAGTCCCTCGCTAGGCGAGGGCCTGTTCCCGGGGTCCGCGCGCGCACCTCCCTCTCGCCGTCGTCTCCCCGGGGCCGGGCGCGGGGACAGAGAGTCGCCTCCCCCGCTCCTCGGAGCTGAGGCGGCGGTGCCACCTCCGCACTGCGCTTGCGAAAGAAGCTCGGGGAGGAGGTAAGCTTGAATCCTGTGAATTGGTGTGGGTACCGGGGGGAAAGGGGTTGGTTGGACGGGCCCGGGATGGGGAGGCCCAAGCGGTCCTCCATCCTGCTTGGGTCACCCCGGGCTTTTAAGCCCTCCTTGAGCGTCCCACCCTTAACTCTGCAGAAGAGCCCGGTGCTCGTGCCGGGTTTCTCGCTATCATCCTGAGGTGTTCTCAGGCGCGTTTGCCTGAGGGGGCAAATGAATTCAGACGGAAAACTTTGCTAGGTCACTACCATTTACTATGAGCCTGGAAAACTCTTGCGTGGTATTCGCATTTGTGTGAGATGGAAGGGTGCCGGAATATGGTAACGCATTTCCCAGACCTCTTAGGGAAAGGTATCTTTACTTTTGGTTATATTTGGGCTTGCTTATTTCCCGGCAGTGATAACGACTCAACGTTGTCGGAGTTAAGGAGTGCTACTTGTCTTCACAGTCCCTCGGTAGAACTTTTGGCAGGTATCTGTCAGAAACCAGGGAAGGCGGGATCAAAGGCGAGGCTCAGATGTTTTGGCATCAGCTTTTTCTAAACAGGTGCAAACAATTTATGTGGCTGGACCTTTGGGTTGGTAAGACCGATGCTGTCGCTCAGATATTGTTTGTGGAGCCTAGGTTCAAGCCATTCGGTTTTATTCTGAAATTTTCAGATCATTTGAACTGCTTTGAAAATTGTGGGCGTGCACAGCGTCTTCAGGTTTTTTATTTGTTTTTGAAGAAATAATTTTAAAAGTTTGGAAGGATCTTCACACCTCAAGTTTTCAAAGTTTTGCCAGACATATTGTTGCAGTAAACGCAGATGCTTATGCAGGACAGTTCATTCTTGTGTGGTGCCGGTTATGGGGGTCTCCTTCTGCAGTGTTTGAATTTACTGACTTTAGAATCTACGCATCAGTATTTTGGACAGTTTTGTGGACATATCTCTTGACTTTCGAATGATTGAGAATTTAATGAAGTATTTAGATAACATAACAATTTCAGCAGGAGACTGAGAATGTAGATGGAGGTGTGTAGCGATTTGTGTCTGCAAAAATATTTGTGAAAATTTTGTGAAAAATGTTGTGACACTAAGACGGGGGATCTGGGAGGATCTAGTTTTGTCAAATGCATGCCTCTTTTCGCCTCCTAACTCTTGGTGTTGTGAAGTGAACATTGACTGCAGATTTTAAGATATTCACGTTTATCTGATTTGCATATTTGTAAATGAAAACTAAAATCCCACAGGTGGATGCTGTTTTAATTTCTGTACAAGTTATTGAAAATTTAACAGTCATTGGTGTTAATTTGTATTGTAACATGCACTGACATTTACTTATAGAAAGCAGTTGATTAGCATATTTATTTACAAAATTGGTTTTCAGTGTTAGTCTTTCCTACCTCCCCCACCCCTTGCTATCCTTTTCCTGTAAAGTTGAGTTGAGCTATTTCAGCAGATATTTAGTAGCAGTTGAAATGTTAACTGGTTGGTTTACAAAGTGTCTTTTATTTTTTGTTTTGGTAGTTTTGTTTGTTGTGTTTTATTTTATAGTAGTTGCCAGCATGGGATATTCTCCCTACATAGTCTTTTTAACAAAATGTGTCTTGTTCACAGCACTAGTGTATTGCCTTCCTTATGCTTGCATAGTCAGTTTAGTTAAGACAATTCTGCTCAGAATTCGCTTTTGTTGTTTTAGTCTATCCACATATAAGCAATCTGCAAGATTGTTTACGAAAATTCTTTTATTCTAAAATTGTGAAGAAAAAAACTCACAGTATGCATCAAATAAACTTTTTTCTTTCAAAACTTAAGACATAAATATGATGAGATCCTTAACACTTTTAGAGTGCCAGTGAATAGGGATTTATTCTCCTACCTGTTGGTACCAGGAATTCTGTAGCTTTAATTGCTTAATTATTTGAGCGTTTCCTAGTATGGTGCTTCTTATCCAGATTGAAGTGTTTCATGCTTTCATTTATGCTAGTGGAGGTTGAGATCTCAAAGATGTAATTGTGGATTGAAGTGAGAATACTAGAGTTAATGTTTTATTGAAACGTTTTAGTTATCAGGCTTCAGAAATAATTGTTTAAAAAGAGGCCCATTTGTGTTTTTCTTTTCTCAAATATTTTTGTAATATGAAGCTATGAATACATTGTGATATTTGTAAGTTTCCGGGGGAAGGAAGACATTTCCCATTTATTAAGACTTTTTGTTGTGTCTTAATAGATTCAAACTTTGTGGCACGGTTTTTTGTTTTTTGGCCACACCTCGTGGCTTGCTTGATCATGGTTCACCAGCCAGGAATTGAACCTGGGTCCTTAGCAGTGAAAATGCTGGGTCCTAACCACTGCACCACCAGGGAATTCTCCTTATTTTCTTTTTCAATTGAAAAAATACTAAAGCTTCTGATATTTATTTCTCTGCAAATGGAGAGGAAAGATAGGAGAATTACTCAATAGACTTTCATCAGTGGCACTGTGGCTCTGATAATGCTGGTGTTTGGGAAAGGCATGATAATGTGAATGGGAGTGTGATGCCAACTTAAAACTAAAGAATAAATTGAAAACTGAGGGGAAGCCTTCAAAGTCCCTGAAGTAGGGAAGACTTTATGGGGGGAAGACTTTAATATTTACATTTTAATCTTATTTCTAACTTTTCCCTTATATGTTGAAGCATTTACTTATTGAAGTCTGTTCATATATTAATTGAAAGAGTTTTCCCCTTCTCAGTCAAATCTACATTTTATTCTTTTGTGATTTGTCTTTCTCTCTGTGCCAAATCTTTAGATTGAAAATTCTAATTCTCACATTATATGCAACCTAATTTTTAATTAATATATATGAGCAAATGCTTTTCTGTTGTAGGTTGTGTGTGTATATTTAGACAAATAGGATTTAAAATATATTTTAATATTTTTAATGCAAGTTTAAGGCATTTTATCTGTACAAAAATCATAAATGTTTCATAATAACATTTAGATAATTTGTTGGCTACTGATAGAAGTTCCTAGATAGATGATCAGAAAAATTTCTCTATTAATTAGAAAACTTCAATTTCTATTTTTCCCCCGCAGGGTTTTTTTTTGTTTTTGTTTTTTTTGACTAGGACCTCCCTGTAACCTAGACCTGTTCCTGAAACTCAGTGTTATTTTAGGCCATGTTTTGGTACTGTTGACTCTCTGAGAGAAGTGACTACGTCTTTACTTCATTGCTGGTCTTCCCTAAGTTGGAAGACTCAACAGTAGCAGAAGTAAAATCTTGGGATAATCACCCTATAGGTGAATCTTGTAGTACTGGATATCACCTGTGAAAGCTACTTTGTCTCTGTGGGAAGAAACTTTTTTAGAGTCAAGAATACAAAGGGAGGGGTAAGGTTGGATCATTAGTCCTCACTACATTGTCTGTTGCAGCCCAAACCCCTTGAAGTCTTCAAAGGTTGTGTTAGGGATGGATCTAACATGGGAGAGAAGCTGTGAGACCATGCTTCCCAGCAGTGGGTCAGAGGAGGAGAGGGTCCTGATTCAGGCAACAGGTTATAGGCAGGGAAGAGAGGCAATTAGTATCTGGAGCCCTCAGAAAGACAAGAAAAGAGGTAATAGATGACCTAAGTATACTAAGGTCATGTATACTAAGAAATAGCGTGTTGCCCCAATTGTGGAAAACACTGCTGTTGATTTTTTTTTTTTTTTTTTAGGAAGGAAGGTATGTTGGAAGTAGGGTCCGGTTGGGGATAGAGGTTTGGGGGGCAGACATGATCATTTCCTTTGATACTGGAAGGAAAAATGTAAGGTTAGGGTTAGTCATCTTGATGCAGCGTGTTGGGATGGGGTGCCTGTTCCTAAGTTGCAGGTAACTGGAAATAGCTAATCAACTTTTAGAACACATTCATTTTTAAGTTATTAATGTTCTTGAATTAGTGAATGTGAATTTCAGTGTATGCCTATGTATTTTTATAGTAACAGATGATGAAATTTAAAAAATTTGTTTATATTGTTGCATATTTATTTCTTCTTGAATCTCAGTTATAAATTATAAAAAAGTTTTTATCAGTTAATCAAAGCTCTAGATTTTCTAGATCTTTTTCAACTCCACTTACACTTATCTTGGCTTTTAGTTCTTTATATTCAGTAAGTCAAATGTATGTATGGGATTTACCCACCTTTTCCTTTATAAATTCACATTAGGACTGAGAATGAGCTCAGGAAAAGTTAAAGATGATAATATTCACTGTTGTGTGGAGGGTGAAGAACGTTTGATACCTAAGTGATTTTATGTTGAACAGATTCTTGTTCACTTATGTGGATGCTCTACATAAGTTTAAAATATTTGTAATTAAAGTTACTTTCTAACTTTTTTGAATCATTAAAAATTGATTCTAACCCTAACTAATGGTTGCATTGTATGTTAGAAAATAATCATACATATTTCCATTTTAAAAACTACCATATTGTATCATATCATATATTTTTCTTTTGGTTCGTTATCTGTTAGTTTGTCAACTGTTGTCCTTATTCTTTGGACCTTTTAAAACTGTGACTTGACAAGAAATATCTAACTGGACCAAACATTGTTTATAATTTTTTTTAATAAGTTTTGATTCTGTTCCACCATGATTTAACTTACTTGCAAGTCATGGGACCTTACTTTGACATCACAGTAACAAACATTGTGAACTTTTTAGAGACCAGTTCTTTAGCAAATGGAGTTCTTACTTCTTTAGCTGACATCATTCATTCTAGTAGCATTTGCCTACTAACAAAATTTCAACTAATGTTTAGTGTATAAAGTGTGATATGGTTGGTTCCTTTTCTTTCTCTTAGGCCTTTCTTGCCTGCTTCCCGCAGTAGTATACCATCTAGATTATTCTAGGTCTGGAATTTAAGATTGTTTTCTAATATTTATCATAGTGCTTTTATCTGATATTTTCATTTCCAGTCGAATCACCTGATTGTATATTTTAGTTTCTAATGTTTTATTTGCTTTTGTAAAATATTTTCATAATTTCTTTTCTTGTTACTAATAATGGTAAAATAGCCTGTTTATTTCTTTTAGCACCTTTGGCTTTTATGTCAGTGCAGTATAGATTATCAAAACATCTTCACTGTTTCTAGTTGTTCATTCATCCTGTCCTATTTTGAAAGAAAGTCATTTTGTTAACATTGAGGGGGTGGTTTTCTGTTTTTTATAATACTGCAAAAGAGTACTCCTGATTATACTGTTCATCTTTGGCTTGTGTAAAACAAAGAAAATACTTAAAATTTTCTCCCAGGCTGATTTTTGGGGATGTACCTGATGTTATCACTTAAGTTGTATAAAACACAATTTCTACTCTAAAATTCTTAGCTGAAGAAATTTTTGGCATAGCTTTCTTTTCCAGTAGACCAGTTGATGGAGAATGATAGCACACTTTTTCTTTAAAAGATAACTACTAAATTTTGAAACAGCTTTTATAACGAACTTAGAAACTTTTTTATAGTGTTTTCTGAAATTGAATGTACTGTGGAAACTGTGTGAGTAGAATCTTATTCATTCTGTAGAAGAGGTAAAATTCTAGCCCAAAAGAATCAAAGTCCTAATAAACTCACTAACAAGTTGTGTCTTAGAAGATAGTTTCTTCTGTTCCTCTGTTTACTTGTGACCTCTCCTATGTCTTTTTTCCTTCTGAGAAAAATCCCTTGTAATTTTATAGTGTTATCTACCCTCTTATTTACTTGTAAGTTATTGGCTCAGATATTTAAAACTGAACAATTTTACAGTTTGCCTCTCTCTTTTTTGGTTAAAGTAGTACAAAATGTCAAAAATTAGAAGGAAGGTCACGGTGGAAAATACCAAGACCATATCTGATAGCACATCCCGAAGACCCAGTGTATTTGAAAGGCTTGGACCCAGCACTGGCAGTACAGCAGAGGTGAGTCGGCACTAGTATAGTCACAGGGGTTCTCTTAAATTACTGCTCCTCAGGTCCTCGTTCATATCGCGAGCGTGACTAGGCTGTCGTAGGGATATTGGTTAAATGTGTGTCACAGCAAAGCAGTGCGATGGGCATTAGGGTTTATGGGCCTCTTTTTCCTGATGATTTCATTATTTGGGGAGTAATGTATCTCAGGTTAGCTGGATTTTTGATAGCATTTATTTTAATTTTGTCCCACTAGCATTTTTTTCCAGAAATAAATATGACTAAATATGAAATTCACATAGTAATATCTGTCTCTTAGACACAGTGCCGTAACTGGCTGAAGACTGGCAACTGCCTCTATGGAAACACATGTAGATTCGTACATGGCCCTTCACCCCGTGGTAAAGGTTATAGCAGCAATTATAGAAGGTAAATTGAGAACTTTGAATTGTTCCTATGCTATTAGAAGATGGCTGTTGTAATTTTTTTTTTTTTGCTTTTGTAACTTATCTAGTATAAAATTTGAAATACTGCCATATATTTGGTTAGATTTTCTATTTTGGTGGTAGTCTTATCAGTAGTCAAGATTGACAAGATTATTTTAGTTGTTAATTTCAAGATTAATAAAGATGTTTGCTTTAAAATTTATTTGCTCAAAAATTTGTTTTTGTAATATATGTATAGCTTACTTTCATGCCCTGCTCCCTAGTTATATATGTTAAAATGCTGTTTAAGATGGCAGAATTTCATGGATTTGTTTTTAGTGAGGAGAGACTATTTTCAACTCTTGAAATAGTAAAATTTAAATAGAATATAATTTTTAGCTTTTTAAGATGTTCAAAATTAAAAACTTCATTGCAAAAAATAATCTAATGCAAGCTTCATAGGTTAAAAAACATTTGCCAAATCTCTTATCACAATATACTGAGGTAGATGAAAGTATGTATTTATATGTAGATAAGTATACTACCTATTTAGAATGTCATTTTGCCTTTAATAAAGGCATGGCTAAATTAGACCTTCCTAATAAAAATCTTTTACTTTTCTTTTGGCTCCCTCATGATGATTTTGTTATGGTGTTTAAAGATGTCACATACATAAAGATTGTCACAAAAGAGTTTAAACTTGATTAGTAAACAACTAATTTACCTAGTCTTAAAATTGGATGTGCTGATTGCTTTGGCTTCAGCATCAGTATGAAAACAGCACATTAACCTTTAGAGGTATGTTTTTTAATTGGGTGAGTTTTTGTGTATGTGTACTGAGTTTGAAGTTTAATACAATTTAAAATTCAAACCCTTAACATTAGCTGATTTTCTGTTCACTTAAATGTTATACATTTTAGTTTATTTGTGATGCTGAATACTCTGTTTTATTTGTATTTAGATTGTCATCTGTCCTTTCTGTCAATGTGGGAAAATTAATCTTTATAAGTTTAATACCTGTAAATACATATCTAAGGAAACTGTTACAGTAATTCTAATTTCTTGCTTATATTACTGTATTTTTAATACATGCTTTATTTCATCTTTGACTTTTATTATCAACTTACTCAGAATTTTTATACAAGTGGTTGTAAGGAAAATGGGCATAGAAATTTGTCTAAAATGGAAAAAAGTAGTGTCATTACTAGATGTAGAATAAAGAATTTCTGTTATAATTTTGCGGTTTTGTTCATTTTTCCCCTGATAACTTTCTTTGTATTTGTGTATTTTCCCTTTTTTTTGTAAGGAAGGAAGAGAAATATAATTCATAATGTGATTCAAAGATGAAAAGAAAAGCATTGTGTTTCAGAAATACTTGTTTAGTCACAAATCATTTAACTCACTGAGTGTTTACTGTATGTGGAGAATTCTGTTAGGTACTATTTAGGATAGAAACAAGTTATCATAAACTGTCTTATTACATAAAGGAAACTAGGAAACATAAAATTGACATGTGCACCATAATTATAATTTAAAGCATTTAAGTGCTGGTTCTTAATAAGAAATTCCATTTATTAGTTCAGCTTTAACTGTTAAAACATTTAATATAGATCTATAAATTGTGCATGTAAATGTAAATGTTAGGAGATCCCTTAAAAAGAATTGACTGAAATTATTTTTTCACTAACCATGTGATTTGTATTAGTGATTGATAAAGGAGTTGATTGATCAACTATTACTTGAAATAGATGTGAATATTTATGTAATTTGTTTATATCTTTTAAAAATATTACGCTAGTATTCTTTGGTGGCTAAAGAGGACCATAGCATTTCTTAATAATTCTTGCCCTCTTTTAATGGTGCTCTAGGAATATTTTTTAAGGCAGTGTGTTTTCTGTCTCTACTTTGTTTTTCTCCTTAGTGATGGTGTGAAAATAATTGAACAGCCATTTATCAAATGGCTAGTATAAATTATGAAGCTTTACCAGTATTGAATATAAATATGTGTATTTTTTCTAATTAAAACCAGTCCATAGCAAAGTATAAAATCTTACTTTATATAAGTATAAAAAGTATAAATTCAAATCTTTCTTTGAATTTTTCAACTGCTTTTTTTCTGAAATAATTTCAAATTTAAGAACAATTAAGAATAACATTAAAAATTTCTATATTTGCTTTGATTCTTGAGATGCATAAAATATTTTCATAGTTATTAATGTTGCATCCAACCACATACATGTGTAAATAACATTGTTGTTTCTAGATTAATTTTGCAGTGTTGTGGTTTAAAACTTTACCTTCCTACTGTTTGCTTTCAAATATAACTAGTATATTTATGTGATTAATAGAAGAACAAGCTGTTAATGACAAATTCCTTTCTCTTAGCTCATGTATAGTTTCTTATTAATGTCACCAGCACCTGCCACTCCATGGAATTTTAATGTATGCATTTTGATTGGTATTGGGAGAAACTTGTAAGTGATGCTCATATTTTTTATATGTTAATGTTGAAGTTGAAATTTACTTTTCTGAACTTTAGGAGTCATGGATAGTAGAAAAATTAGAGTTTTGTAGGGTTATTTCTGTAAATATATTCTTATGAAATGTTATATAAATATAGATTTTTGTTGTTTTGTTTTTTTGTTTTGTTTTTGTTTTTTGGTTTAAAGGTCACCAGAAAGACCTACAGGGGATCTTAGAGAAAGAATGAAGAACAAGCGCCAAGATGTGGACTCTGAGTCCCAGAAACGAAATACAGAGGAATCATCCTCACCTGTTAGGGTAGGAATGAATTTCCTGAAACAAAGTTAAATTTAGTAGTGATTTATTATATATGTTCTATTTTAAATATTATGTGCTAAATAATAAGTGTGTAATATTACATTGTCATGTTCTATATGGATAATGTAGAGGGAAAAAGTCCTGGGAAAATTCATTATTTCATCATTTTAGTTCTTGGTTAAGATGATGGGAACTGGTTGGCAGAGCACCAGCTGCACTTCATAGGATTTCTGTGCCTTGGTGGACATCATGAATATCTAAATGTATTCTTAGCCAGCCATCAGTCCCTGCCTACTTCCAAGAAAGACTGAAAGGCTTGCAGTAGAACACTTTTAAATTAAAACAATGAAGGCAAGGCATGGTGGTGGCAGAAACTGAACTATGATCACAGAATTTAGTGTGAATTTCCTGCCAGTGAAATGAAAAGAGAGCACAGTTTATGATGTAGTTTATTGATTAAAAGAAAAGATAGATGTTTGTCAGGAATGGAAATTTCCCAGAAGTAAATATTTTTAAAAGAAATTTTTCATGCTCTTGTGTGTGCATTTGCAACAAATTTATAGAGATACAGTTCACCCATTTAAAGTGTACACTTGGTGGTTTTTCATAAATTCACAAGAGTCCTATATCCATCACCACAGTCAGTTTTAGAACAATTTTATCACCCCAGAAAGAAAACCCCATACCCTTTAGTGATCATTTCCCTGGCCCCTCAATTGACCACCAGCCTTAGGCAGTTCCAGTTAGACTGTCACATAGACTTGCCTGTTCTGGTTATTTCATATAAATAGAGTCATACAGCATGTGGGGTTTTTTTTGTGACTGGCTTCTTTGACTTAGCGTAGTTTTTTCAAGGTTTATGAAAGCTTATGGGATGTAGCAGTATTTCATTCTTTGTTTTTGCCAAACAACAATCCATTGTATTGATATATCACTTTCTGTCTATCCATTCATTGGTTGGTGAATATTTGGGTTTCTGCATTTTGGCTGTTATGAATGATGCTGTTATGAACATTGGTATACAGGTTTTTGCGTGGCCATGTGTTTTCATTTCTTTTGAGTTTATGTCTGGGAGTGAGATTGCTGAGTCATATGGTAACTCTATTTAACCTTTCAAGGAATTGCTGGGATGTTTTCCAAAGCAGCTGTGCCATTTTAAATCCTTAGAGCAGTGTGTGAGATTTCTAATATTCCACATCCTTGCCAACATTTGTTATCTAACTTTTTGATAGAGCTGTTTTATTGGTAATGTCATTGTAGTTTTGACTTACATTTTTCTGATTGTTAGTGATGTTGAATATTTTCTTGTGTGCTTATTGGCCATTTGTTTATCTTCTTTGGAGAAATGTTCAGAACCTGTGTCCATTTTTAGATTGGGTTATCTTTTTATTGTTGATTTGTAAGAATTCTTTATGTATTTTGTATCCAAGTCCCTTATATATACAGTTTGCAGAAATATTCTTCTATGGGTTGTGTTTTCATGTTCTTGATGGTGTCCTTTAAAACACAAATGTTTTTAATTTGATGAAATTCAATTTATATTTTTGTTGTTACTTCTGCTTTTGGTGTCATATTTAAGAAACTGTTGTCTGATTCAAGATCAGAAAGATTTATGCTTGTTTTCTTCAAAGAATCTTAGAGTTTTAGTTCTTGCATTTAAATCTTTGATCCATTTTGAGTTAATATTTACTGGGTTGACCAGAAAGTTCATTCAGGTTTTTCCAGAGGTGTTACGGAAAAACACAAGCTTACTTTTTGGCCAACCCTTTTTTTATGGTGTGAGAGAAGGGCTCAGCCTCATTCTTTTGCATAGGGATATCTAGTTGTCTCATTATCGCCTTTTTATGAAAGTTACTGAATTGTTTAAGCAGCAACTTCTTTGATAGTTTTAGATACACAGAAGCTTTCTTATGGCTGTTTTGATCCTGAAAAAAAAAGCTGTGTCACAATTTTATATTGTAGCTTGTAAAGACGTATCTTTGGGGACTTGAATACAGTCATAAGTATGTAGTTTTCTAATGTCTGATGTGATATGTAAAGCCATTTTAGAAATCTCACATGGTAGTTCTCGGCTGGTGATATGTATCAAAATTCTTTTGGAGGGGAGATGGTCTTTTTAAAACACACATGCAGATACTCTACCCTTAATCTACTGAATCAGAATTTCTGGGTAGGAGCTGAGCAAGCTGTGTATTACCATATGTAAGGGACTTGGATCCAAAATATATAAAGAATAATAAAATGTATCTGGATAATGAATGGATGCTGTGGTTTGCTGGTAAATGTTTGACAATCCCTCAGGAAAAAAAAAAAATTGTAGGATTTACCAGTTTCTTTGGTGTACATATTCCCATCATGGTTAGTTTCAAGCTACTAAAATGGTATCACTGAGTACAGAGTTGGAAAGTGTGGGAATACACACACACACACAATAAACCACAAGAGAAAATATACTAAAATATTTAGGAAGTGAGTTTTGAATAATTATTGCCTTTGTTTTTAATATTACTTGTTAGTTTATATGATTTAATTTTTGATTACAGCTTGTGCATTCCTAAAACTTTAACAGTTGCCTCTTATGAATCAATGTGAGCTGGCTCTAGCATACCATTAGGTGGATTGTACTTAATATAAAGGGCAGACATCTAGAATTCATATTCTGAACACATTACTTTAGGAATTATTATTCAATGCTACTGTCATTTTTCTTATCTGTAAAATGGAGGCGATATCCATATTACTGTGTTACTGTGAAGAAAATACTTGTAAATCAAGTAACATGACTGACTATGATGACAGCTTAATAAATGGTATGTTCTTGTATAAGAATAGCTCTTTAGCTTTTTCTCTCTAATATAGTTTGAGGCTGTTAATAGAAGACAAATATCGACATTGGAGGTTTAGGTTTTTAACAGATACCTAAATGTAAGTAGTTGTTGATCGTAAAAGTTTATATGTTCATATCATTTTAGTAGACAGCAAAGTTGCTATTTTGTTAAGAAATTCAAAACCTGATTCTTGCTTTTCCTTCATGAGAAAGCCCTCAAAGACACTGAGTTTCATGCACACCTAAGGGATAAAGTCTCAAGATTCACAAGTAGTCAGGTTTTAGGGAATTCACTATCTAAATTTAGAGAAAACTGTTAATAAGTTTGGATGCCAGGTATTAATTATATTGAGTTACATATCTGGCTTGAAAACACATGCTGATCATTTCTGTGATACATTCCCTACTGTAACATGTGTGACTCTTGATCTTCACATGATGAATTTCTATGGGCAAATCAGATGTAGTTTAGGTGGGGGCAACTATAGCAGATAACATAGCATATCTAAGATAGCATGTGTGTGGTTTTCCACAAATTGTGATTCCACTGCTTCTCTGTCACTGGTCTCAACTCCAATGTGTGTGAATTATGAGGTTGATACACCCTGATTTTGTGGAGAGACAAATTCATAGACTCTAATTCTATAGACTGTAGTAGTGTTAGAGAGATGAGCAAAGCTCACAATGGAGGGGAAAAAGTAGCTGCCTGGGGAAGCAGAGTACACTTCAGAGAGAAATGACATTTGCAATGGGTATTGAAGAATAGATGGAGGGAGAGGTGAAAGTCAAGGAAGAGAAAGAAAACCAACACAAGAACAATACGGGGATTTAGGGGACCTATGAAATGGAAATAATGGTGTGTGCGCGTGAGATGAGGGCTGACAAGATCTATCTTGTTCACCATTTCACCTCCATACCCTGGAACTAGTAAGGTCACTTACTGAATAAATGAAAAGTGATTCTGATGTGTAGCCAGTGTTGAGAATTCCTGATGACCTCAGGTCTGCGCTGTCCAGTGGGGCTGTTGAACACTTGATACATTGTAAGTATAAAAAACACACTGAATTTCAAAGACATAGTATGAAAAGAAAGTCAGATATCTTGTTAATAACTTCTATGTTGGTTGTGTTGTATTGGCAGTATTTTGGACATACTGGCTAGTCTGGGTGATTTAAACCGAACTTAGTACAATGGAACTGAATTTAACATGGTGAGAGGCTTATATGAGATAGAGCAGGTAGGATTTGATGACCAAAAGAGTGAGTGGAAGGAAGGTGTTAAGTCTAACTACAGGCTTTCCATGCCATTAACCAAGATGGAAAGGAGAGAGAATTGTTTTCTGGCTCTTTTGTACACTCTGCTCATAGCATCACGGACAACTGTCTTTTGATGCTGTTTTCTGTATTTGCACAGACACTGTTGTGCGATTTTAGAACATTTATGAAATAATATGTGTACTCTTATGGTGCTGGAAACTTTCACCCAGTCTGTACAGCTTTCCAGACACCATAATTGAGTGTTTTCTCTAACAGAGATTTGTTATTTTACGTCATTCGAATACAAAGATAAATCGCTTTGAAAGCCAAGTTCTGTTACAGAGTCAGAAGGAGTATTTGAGCATTTGTTGATGATTAAGGCATGAATTGAGAACTAATTTCTAACATGAAGTTTTCTATCTCTGGGATCTGCACCTCCCAGAATGTATACAGAATCATTAGTTTTGCTTCATAGTCCCCTCCCAGTTCATTCCTGTTCCCCATTCCTGTCCCCTCACCACCTAAAAAGATATCCTTGTTCTTTTTCTGCATCTTGATACATCTGCCTAGATGAGAAAGAAGTTTCACTGACTAAGGAAGAACATAGGACTAGATCTGTTACAAAAAGCTGACTCATATAGTGGAGGACTTTAAGTCACAAAGCGTAATTAAAGTTTTATAACTATTCTTAAGTAAGTCTCTTGGCCTTGCTTTTTATCTTTAAAATAAAGATACCTGCACCAATATGTCACAAGTTACAGTGAGAACATAACTATAACTGCATATATGTAAAAATTCTTTGGAATTTACATACATGTGAAAAACTTTGGAAAGAATAAAACACAGTGAATGTAAAGCAGGAAGAGTAGAGAGTCATCAAATTAGAAATTTGAGAAGTGAATCTATAGGATTAAGTA